GAACGGTTGTTAAAATATCCGGACTTGCTAAAGAAGTAAGATTAAACAAATAAAAAAAGACTTTGCTTACAATAATCCACTATAACATCGTGTTTTTTGTAGTCTGCGAATTCCAAATACTCAAAAAAGTTGTGTAAATAGCCTCACTTTAAAGCTTCTGTATATGGAACAATGCTTTTTTAACATATATAATTTGTTTGATACAACATATCATGCCATTATACAAACTGAAATAGATTACCTTTTGACTTTGAAATTAGCAATCTATTTTTTGATAAAGTCTTGCAGGCATTTATTCTTAAAACTGACATTTTTTAACAAACCTTGATCAAATAATTAGGTTTTCTTACATATTGAGAAAAATCCTACATCATTGAATCAATGTAATCTGAGCCTTACAATAAAGACATTAAAGGTTATCCCATCTGTTATCCAGTAAAGAAAAAACCTCCACTGTCTTAGGCAGCTGTGGCGGCACTGAAAGGAAATTGTACAGTTTGATAGCTATAAATAATTATGATTCAAATGTAAATTTTGTACAAGGTTAAAACTCAGCATTCTGTGGATCACCAACACAATTATTCAAATGAAGACATAAATCCTTTTACTGACACAACTGTTTGACTGAAAGTTTGTCAGAATGTCTGTTATTCTTATCTTATTGTAGAGAAAGTTAGCTCATATAAAAATATCTAGAAATATTTGCTTTGCAAAACAGTAAACTAAAATGTAAAATGTTAACTCCCCACAGTGCCCACTTTAAACTTTGAGCTGGACTGAGAGTTAATCTCTGGCACTTGTGGATATATTCACATATTCACTTCAGCAACTTTAGTATCTTCAATGGTATACTGATTAACTAACTTGGGGAATACCTACTTAGTAAAAAATACTACTTCATACATAACAAACATTATGATCACTTAATTATTAAACAACCCTTGGGTAATTTTTATTGTGTTTAGCCCGCTCTGTAAATTCTTGGTAACCTAGTACTAAATGTTGTGGTGTTAGTTATTTGTATATAGTTTATTTACAATGAAATTTTAATGCTTCCAATTTTTAGATTTTTTTCCCCAAACACTGTTCATTCAATTTTGGAATTGTTTTATACCAATTGTCTTGTTTTCTTAAAAAAAAATATGAATGACATTTTAGTCTTGATCAATTTTCTTAGGGTATAAAAAGATATTCCTTTTTTTAAGACAAAAAATGACTAGTTTTTGTTTGGGTAACTAAGGTGTTTCCTATTTATATCAAACTAAATACTGCTGTTCATTGTTCATTGTGTTCAAATGTAGTCAGCTGTATATAGTAAACGTTTTAGGACATGACATTTTGTCCAACCAGATTCTAGCCAATTTTGTGATACTATTTATCATTTATTAATTTATTTTATTTGCTTATTTGACATTAGATAACTTATAGTTTTGTTTTAATGACGCTGTCTTTTTGGTTGACTTCAGGAAATAATGGCATATTTTCATATATTTTCTTTTACTTGGTCCTTATTTTTATATCTAGCTGAATTAACAAGTGTGAATTACTAACCATTTTGTTTTGTTATAAGGTAAAGCAAATTATATGTAGGTAGGCTAATTTTATTTATTTTTTTATGCTCAAGATGATATGTAAATAATATTTTTTGTTAAAAAAAAGGAAATGTTGAGGCTTTCATTTTTTCTCTTGTAAGAAATCATAAACATATTTACACTTCACCTTTACTTGGATCAGGTTAGTTTCTTTCTTTTTTTGCAATGATGAAAGTCATTTATTAGTCACTAAAGTAATTAGAATGAAGCAATTAGTTTGATCAGCATGTGTAAAACAGTATGTATTTTTGTCCTATGTAACTTCCAAGTTGCGTTCTTTGTGTGGACAGGTCATTCAGCTTTTAGTTCAAAACAAAACCAAAAAAGAAAAACAACTCAAGTTGAAATGTGTGATGAATATAACATTTGTTATAGGTTGACTGCATTGTTGAGAATGAAATTTTCCAAATAAAATGAATGTAATTTTGTTTTCAATCTGCGGTTTAAGTAGACAAATTGTTTTTAGATTATTGTGTGTCCTGTTACAATAAAATAGTACCAGTAACCTAATCAGTTGATTGGACCAATGAAATGTTGTGTTATGAACAGTGATGGCTGTACAATCATTCACAAAGTGAGGTACTTCTAACCTAATCAGTTGATTTGACCAACGAAATGTTGTGTTACAAACAGTGATGGCTGTACAATCATTTTCAAAATGAGAGTGAAGGTAATATTGCATTGAAGTATTCTTTGTGTTGTATCTTAAAGTTTGAATAGTAGCTAATAGTATTGGCGCTGCAATGAGACATAAAAGGATGTGATAAATTCTAAGTTCAATATTTAGCCATAATGTTACCATGTGTTCATTCTGTACTAATTATTTTGCACATAGGCATGATTGTCTTCGAGTTGATTCCATACGTGTATCAATGTTTGTTGTATAGTTCTAGATTTCCAGTGTAGACAATTTTGCATTCCATTGTGGTCACATGCTCTTTATGACTTGTAGTGGGTCCAGTAGCATTTGCTTGTAATATTACTCTACAACTTCATGGGATTTTTTAATTCATGTAGATTGTTGTAGATAAAAATGGATGTCACTTTTGTTTAATACACTTAAGAGAACAACAAAAATGTTGAATAGTAAAAGTTTATATTTTAAATGTTTCAGTTATGTTGGCAGTAGTTGAAAGGCTTTTAGTTATATTATGATGCTAATTTTCTTGTTTCACTTTTTTTAAAGACATAATTTCTTAATGCAGCTAGTTACCAGTTAAGCTCTTTATTGAGTTCTGGTTTTTTTTTTGCAGAGGATATTTGAATCTTGTTAAAATTTAATAGGTCGTTTTTTTCTATTAAATCTTGGTAAAACATAATAGATAATTTTTTTTTTTATTAAACTTGTTTCATAAATGTAGATATATATCATAATAAACTACTAAAAAGGTATTTTCCATGTGTTTTTTTGATAGTTTTCTTTTAATTAACATACTCAGTTGCTTTGTAAGCTTTCAATAAATCAAATATTATTGAACAAATTGTTGCAGATTTTATGGTTTATGCTTTTAATTCAATGGAATTGACTAAAATCATAGTAGAATTTTGTAAAATGTCAAATAGATTTAGACAATCTCTTTTTTTTTTCCTGATAGACAAATTAACTAACATGGCCAGAGGACACATTTAGGTTTTAAGTACTAAAATGGTCAGAGGACACATTCAGGCCCTAAGTAGGCCTACTAAGATGGCCAGAGGACATATTCAGGCTTTAAGTACTAACATGGCCAGAGGACACATTTAGGCCCTAAGTAGGCCTACTAAGATGGCCAGAGGACACATTCAGACTTTAAGTACTAACATGGCCAGAGGACACATTCAGGCACTAAGTACTAAGATGGCCAGAGGACACATTCAGGCACTAAGTACTGAGTGTAACCAGGAACCAAAAGCTGTTTTAGAATAAATCTTTTTCCTGTGAGGGCTTTTATAGTATATAAAATCTTCCACTGACTTATTTTTTGAAAATCATGTAGGAAATGTATAATAAATGATTTGTTGTTTTGGAAAAAAATAAACACTAAGCCCAAAGTATTTAAAGCAGATAAAAAGCATCAACAGCACGTTTAAATACTTCACTGGTTGGTGTCTGCCAAGCACTTCAAGAACATTTCATCAGTAATGCTAAATCTTTTTCTGTTATTGAAAATTATTAAGCTTATATATTTTAGCTTTTTTTTTAATTCCTATTTTTGCATGGTCACTCATTGGTACGATTGAATTTACATTTATGGTCACACATGAAAATCTATTAATTTTTTTTTATTAATTAGCTAAACTTATTAAGTTGGAATTAACAATTCAATGTTTTTATGAAACATTTTTTATCCACACATTCACTTTAGTTTAAGTCTATATTTGAAATTACTTTATTGCGATGTCCTGACCTGTTGATTTGCATCTGAGGTCACATTGAATCTAAATGAAACCCAAATCTAGGTTGATAAATTGTTCAAAAAAAAAAACTTAAAAATTATTAAACAATGAGCTTTTAATAATTTTAAGATTAAGCATATTAAAGACACTATATGATGTTTTGTTATTAATGTTATCAATAATCTCTAGATCAAGATTAATTTAGCATTCTCGAGACCCAGATCTATTCACCCATGTTCTTTCATCTACCGAGGTCAACTCCACAATGGATAGATGTATGTAGGAATATATATCTGGCTTTTAACATTTTTTATAAAAAAATATGACTGGGTATAAAAAAAACCAATTAATTAATTAAGAACATTAAAAATATTAATATTTAATAATGTGATAGCAGAAAGATGTTTGATCCAGGGTGCTGAAACTAATCAAAACTATTTTTGTAACAATGCATGATCCTTAGCACCTGCCTTAGATGTAGATGACTAAGAATTTAGAATATTGCTTCAAAAACCTTATATTTGCACATGCCAGGGTTCCACTAATTAGTAGCACATGCGACTGCCTAAAAGGAAATGCAGTGGCTGAGTGGTAACAGGCTTGGCTTCTGAACTAGGGGTCCTGGGTTTGAATCTTGGTGAAGGCTGGCATTTTTAATTTCAGGATTTTTAGGGGAACTTCACTTTACTTTTATTATTATTAGACCACTAATAAAATAAACCCTCTGTCCAAAAGTACCCCAGTTGACCATATAATCACATCTGCTTTTCGGAGTCACTCCTCTTCCCTGATGTGATGAGACCAGGAGGCAGAGCTCCACAAGGTGTTCTTATATATTCTTACAGTGTAGTCAATTAACTGTGAGATTACAATGACAGTGGCTCATAGGAGGACACATTGGAGGCCATCTGTAAGATTGTAAGAAACACAAACTCTATTTATAATCTTGTTTTGTTGTGTTTTTGTGTCTGTATAAACGTATTTTACTTACACTAGTACACTAATTAAATTTAGTTAAAAGAAAAATTGCTCATTCAACAAGTCACACAAAAAACAAATATATCCATTTTATTTTAATACCGGTAGTTGTTTTTTTAGTACAAAATAAAGCTGCCTTAAATTAAAAAGATACTAGAAAAATATACATTTGACAAGTTGATCCTGTTAACAATTAGACTTTACATCATAAAGAATACTGAAAGTTTTGTTATAACACTTTTTCAATAAGTCTCAACCAATTATCAATTCCAAACATAAAATAAGCCATTTTCTAATGGTTAGCAAGAAATTTTAAAATCTATATTTCATTTTTTTTTTCAAATGTTGTCCAATGTATGTGGATAATATAAAAATGTTGAGTATTTCACTCATTTTCAAACTGATATTTTTAAGTTAAAAGCTTCAATAACAAGTAAAAAAAAACTACAAAGAGAAAAAAAATGGAATGCTACTTGTTAAAAGTCAAACCTGCACATCAGTACTCACATGTATGTTACTTTTAATTCTATGCACTTTGATGGACAATCTGATTTGCAAACTCTAAAGCATTTTAAAAAATATGATGGTAATTTTTTTTTTTTTTGGCGGCCAAAATATTTTTGTTAAAATAAAAAAAAAAGAACCTTCAGAACACATTGTTTTTTTCAGAACTGTGAAAAAAATAAAATTATAAGTGAACTTTACTTCTTACTTAATATAGGATCAAACTAGTACATTAAATATAAATGTCATACTCATGTCTAGTCTTAAACAGTTTTAGAGTGTTATTATAAACGAGAATTTCCTGACTATGTAGTATATGTACTGTCAAAAAATGTAAACTTAGACTCTTTGGCCACAGCAAAAAGGTCATCAGGGCTTGCAGAGACTTTCCATCAGGGAAGAGTACCAGGAAAAAGAAGAAGAGAAAGACAGAGGAAGTAATGAGAAGACAACATCAAAGAATGAACAGGCCTCTCTTTGAATGAAATTCTATCCAATGCAAAGAGAGAGTGAAAGACAGTTGACAGATCTTGTGTGGTGCACCAATGGTTCAATGGACTAAGCTAGGTGAAAGTGAAGGTACTGTAAATGTCTTTGCTGATTAGTAATCAGATATATGGCCTTATGCAGGGATTGGCAAACAGTTTCACCTAAAAAAATTTTCAATTAGAATTCTATATTTTAAAAATTTCAGCCCAAGTATTGGAATCAAAATAATGGTGGCCAAATCATATTTATGCTTCTTTCTTTTTGGAACGATGTTTTTTGTTATTGTTTTAATGACACATACAAAGCTAAATACAGTGGAATCCAGAAAGTTCAAACTCACAGAAATCAAAATGTCAAAAAGCTTTTTTTAACAATTAAGAGTAGAGAAATTTAGTAGGCATAAATTTTAAGATGCAAAAGTATCACTTAATCTTAAATATTTTTTGAAAATAAATCATCACTTTCTTGATCCAGAGTTGGCGAATGTACAGCCTCTCTATTTACTAAGTACAACATGTGGGCTCTCTATGTACTAAGTACAACATGTGGACTCTATGCACTAAGTACAACATGTGGGCTCTCTATGTACTAAGTACAACATGTGGACTCTCTATGCACTAAGTACAACATGTGGGCTCTCTATGTACTAAGTACAACATGTGGACTCTATGTACTAAAAAATACAACATGTGGGCTCTCTATGTACTTAGTACAACATGTGGACTCTATGTACTAAAAATACATGTAAGCTCTCTATGTACTAAGTACAACATGTGGACTCTATATGTACTAGGTACAACATATTGAACTGAAGAGCTACACAGATTTAGATTTGAAAAGTGCACAAATACAAAAAAAGATAAAAAAAAAAAATTCTAGGGTAAATGAAATAAATAAAAAAAAATTATTTACAATACATATGAAAAAAAGAAAATGTACAATTTGCTAAAAATTGAAAAAGAAAAAAGTGAGATTACAGTAAAAGTGTTTTTATGTGTACAGTCTCTCTTATATGAACTCTATAACCATTCCTTTTGACATCTGGTGGTCATATGCTGTTCACACAGTCTAATAATTCTCACTAAAATTAAGCTTGCATGACCAAGGAAAGGACTGTTCAGTACCATCAGTCTATCTACTAAGCAGTGGCGTGGCTAGGGTGTGGGGAGTCCCAATTCAAAATCCCTCCTTGGGCCCACAAATGAATGTCCTAAATTTTTTCCTACATTAAATATTAAACAGTACGCCACTGCCATGTAATCTTGCTATTCCGTGGAGTCAAAAATACTAGACAGCATTGATCTAGATTCTAGATGATGTTATAGAGGTATTAGCTGCACAGAATGCATGATGATGTGAGGTGATATAAATTGAGATTTGTCCCTTGTCGATTTTTTATTTTGGTTAATTTTACTTATATACTTTCCAATTGGAATTTAGACATGTATTTATTAAGTACATTATCTCAAGTCATGATGTCAATGTCAAAATGCAGGGGCCCCTAGAAAGTTCAAGCCCATGGCCCTCAATTACTACATTGGCCACTGCTACTAAGAAGCACCAGGGTGTACAAAAGGCAGAATGAGTGGCAACATGTTTTTGATTATCTTGATATAATTCTTTGTTACACAAGCACAAAGAAAACCATCGTTATGTAAATGAAACAGGAAAAGACCAGAAAGCTGATGTTAGTTATTAGGAAGTTACAGCCCTAGACGCACTAATAGAGAGAAGTGATGACACAACAAGCAATGTCAGGCCTCAATGATCACAGGAAAAACGTGTAAACAGAAAAAGACAGTTTTCTTCAACTACTAGGTAGATAAAACTGTGATTAAAAGTGCCAGTCCACTAAAGATGAATTCACAAACATCCGCAAAAATGTGCAACAACAGTTACGCCAAATGCAAGATACCTGGCTAAGCAAGAAAGTGGAAACGATACAGGAATTTGCTGACAAGCACGACATGAAGAACTTCTTCCATGCCATAAACGAGGTCTATGGACCAACAAAGTCAGGCTCATCCCCTCCACTAAATGCTGATGGGACAATCCTATTGACAGATAAGGAAGAAATCCTATCCTCCAAGCATCATGATAAATGGACATGATATAAACGCAGTGGACAGATTCACATATCTTGGCAGCACACTCTCCAGAAACGGAAAGATTGATAATGAAATCGACCTGCGTATCGCCAAGCTTAGTGCATCCTATGGCATACTGTCTAAAAATGTCTGGAACTGACAAAGTATCACCATAAATACATAGCTAGGGATCTATCAAACTGTCATCCTCCCTACATTGCTGTATGCCTCAGAAATGTGGACAGTGTACAGAAAACATGCGAAGAAACTGACCCACTTCCACATGACATGTCTAAGAAAATACTGAATATCAAATGGCAAGAAAAAATACCAGATAATGTGGAGCTAGTCTGCAAAACATCAACACAATCCTAATGCAGTCGCAGCTGCGATGGGCAGGAGACGTCTGCAGATTGGAAGACCAACACATCCCTAAACGACTCAGGTATGGCCATTTAAGGGAAGGAAAGCGCTCGCAAGGCGGTTAAAGAAAACGCTTCAGGGACACTCTCAAAGCTTCTCTGAAGGCGTTCAGCGTAGACCCAGCCACAGAGGCACATGACAGAGCATCATGGCATCGCGCTGTGAAAACTGGTGCACAGGTTGCTGAGAAAAATAAAAAAAACTGGCAGAACAAAAACGCACAAGTAATGCAAGGCCATTGACACTAGCTCCAGCTGGAATAACCTGCCAAGTGTGCAGCCGAACATTACGGGCTCACATAGGTCTCACCTGTCACATGAGGAGGTACAGAACCTCAGTACAAAGCCCTCAGCCCCCTGGATGACAAAAGTGGTCATCATCGAACCACGATGGACGAACTATAGATAAAATTGTACACATGATACAATGGTGTAGCTAAGGGTTGGGGAGGGTGGGTGAGAATTTGAAAATCCCCCTGGACCCCCAAATGAGTGTTTTTTTTTACAACAGATGACTGAATGATATTTTAAAATTTTGCCCCATGCACAGAGCAGTGGTTTTTTTTTATGTACGATAAGCTGGGCTGAGACAGTTCATGTCAGCAACATCATCTCTTTCTCACATCGTACATCCACATGAACTTTTTAGTTTTTTTTTTCACAAGAAATACTTTATGCACTTTCAAGTGTATTATAAAAGAAAAAAAAAAGATCCCCCTTTTAGACCTTTCAATCTATGGGGCAGATGATGTAAAGGTCATCTGTTTCTGTGGCCCACGGTTACGAGGGTGTCATATGGCCAGCACAATAACCAACCGCCTTTTACTTTTCCCCAACTATTGTCAGGTGCCTATTAGAGCTGGGTGGACTCAGAGGCGCCCTAAAAAATCCCAGGATTAAAAATTCCAGTCTTCACCAGGATTTGAACCCAGGACCTCTTAGTTCAGAAGCCAAGTGCTTTACCACTCAGCCACCACACCTCCTTTAAGTATATAGAGTACTGAAAAACAAAAACAAAGTTACTAAATAATAATAATAAGACTTGTCTTCGATAAAGAAAATTAATGAGGAATGCAGAATTTCCCGTGGCTACGCAGCCCCAGCTGCGATCTACATATTTTGCCACATCTAGCGCAAGCATAACCATCTTCCAACAGTGGTCGATTAAGATTCTTTTTCTCGCTGTCTATGTCTGTCCTCGGCAGCAGATTTTCTTTTGGTTTTAAATGTATATCCCGTAAGTGTAAGTAAGTGACCTCCAGCTGTCTTGTTCCGAAGCTATGTGCACAATTTAAAAATGATCATTACCCAAACAAAATCTGAGGCCACACTTAGCAACATGTTTAACAACAGACTTTACGGTTCCTAACCCCATCTTACAGTGGGGACTCACTATAAAAATAAGCATAAAATAAATCATACGTTCCATCATCATGACTCTATGCATCTAGAACCTAGATGGTCAAGTAAAGTTTCAACGTTGTTTTTGGAATCATATACGGATGAGAACCCAAACTATGAAAACAACAAGATCTTCCAGAAAATGCCATAATAAGTGCACAATACAAAATCCTTACATGAGCTGTGACCCAACTTAATAAAAAGTTACCATAAATTGTAGGATTTAAAAAGAAAATTGGTGGGGTGCAAATGTCCTAAAAGCTTTTATATGATTAATAAATGAGTTGCTGTAAAACCACTCAAATGATAAAGGAATTAATGTTTTGATTTTTTTCTCAGCATTACTCATAATAAAGTTTGAATGACACCTAACATTCTCAAAACTATTAATTATTACTTTCTAGGGTAACTTAGTTCAATCAAAATAAAGTAGGGTACACCCTTTCAGACCTTGTGATCTACAGGATATTTTTGGTTTTTGGCACATGTCGTGCCTATAAGCCCTTGATCTACTGGACAGATCATGTAAAGGTCATCTGTTTCTATGGACAATGTTAAAGGTTGTCATGTGTCTAGCACAAAGAAAAACTGCCTTTAGTCTACAGAAAAAAAAAAAAAAAAGCAAATACTTAGAGACCTTTTCTCACTTTGGGTCACAATGGAAATGCACATTTTAATGTATCAAATAATGTATCTCTAAATGTTAATAAAGATTTGGATTTCGTATTTTAAATACATTTTCTAGCTTAATTTATATATATATATATGACTCCTAAAACATGTTTGTTTTACAAATTTTGGGGAACTTTTTAAGGTCCCCCGACACGTCTCTATGGATAATTTAAACAATAATAATATAGTTCTTTCAATTTCTTTCAAATATAGGCCTATTTTACCCTTGAAGCATTTTAATTTTAGAAGTAGTACAATGGTCAACATTTGTTTGCTCATTAAAATAATTGTAATTGGAAGCTAAAGTGTACATATGCGGCTGTGATTCATACTGTGTCTCTTCCACTGGATATTTCCTAGTTAGCCCTGGAATATTGAAGGAATCTATAAGCTCGACAGTTTCATCATCCTCCCGAGTCCAAGGTACATCGTTTGCTGCTCCAGTTTCGAAAAAAGTATCATCTCCCTGTTCTGTTTAATAAAACAATTTAGAAAAAAATTAGCTGCACAATTTTGATTTATCACAATATTGTACAAAGTTGCAATGAAAATTACACCAATACTACAAGACTTTAAGACAATTTTTTGTACCTTGAATACAATTTGATTGAATATGATTTCTTATTTGAACATTCAAGTAGGCCGATAGAAATTCAAGTTTTCCAACTTCTGTACGTAGCTTGGCATTGTCTTGTTTAAGCTGAATATTTTTCTGTGAGGAGAAAAAATTAGAATATTTTTAACTTTTGTTTAAAAAATATATTTTTATCAATAACTTTAAGGAGCAGTCTGTAAAATTGATATTCATCAACTGATTCAATCACTATACTACTGAAAAAATAATAAAAACAACATTGTCATTGAATCTTAATTTTAAAAATAAATAAATAAATCAGAAAATCAACTTACATATAGGGCCTATTGAAAAAAAATTTAAGAAAAAAT